GGAGGAAGAGGGTGTTGAGTTGTGATCTAAATTCAATTATGTACAAGATAAAGGCTAACCGCCAAAGCGAAGCGAGGCTTGTCATTGGGAGGCTTGGGCCAAAGTGAAGAGGGGGGGGGTGGGGGGCGGAGCCCCCATGTATGGATAAATCGCCTATTAGGGTTTTTCATCTATATATACTTCACTGTAAGCCATCGTCTTGGGATAAGAAAAGTTGTAAATCCATGACATTTGTAACCTCACCCGATATAGTGAAGATTTTCTTTGGTGGTGCCCGTGTTTTTTTTCCGTATCCCTGTGTTTGCTCTACTATTCTTCATCGTTTATATTGCGTATCGTTTCTATGAGAGGGAGGTGGTGTGGCGTAGGTGTAGGGGGAGGAAGAGCCGGCGGAGGTGCGGCGGTAGGGACGAGAGAGAGAGAGTGTCGGGTTCATAAAAACCGGGGTCCCTCGAGGACCGGCTTCTATGCTGAGGCTCGGCCAGGAGGACGGCCCTATTTTCTCCTAGACCGACCCGAGAGTCTAAAACTCAACAGCCCGGAGCACTCGCTCCAGGCCACGGGCCGTTCGGCCCACCTTTCAGCCACCGGGCGCGGCTCAGGCTCGAGCCCGCCCGAACGGCCTCTCCGATCGGAGGCCAAGCTTCGAGCCCAGCCACCTCCGCACGGCCTCCGCTCGGAAAAAGCGACCCGAGGATCGCCTCCGACTCTGACCCCATGTCTCCGGTAGGGGTCATAGAAAAACCCTACCCATCGCTATCCTCCGTGGCCCTACCACAAACGAGATTGTAGGCACCGACATTTGCCTCTACAGTGTTGTGGGCGCCGGTTGAAACACCTATACGGTAAGGCCCCCATGTGCCTCTGGGCACCATGATGTTATGGGCGCGGAATTCTTTGTGGCGCCGACATTTGCCTCTCTGGTGTTGTGGGCGTCGGTTGAAACACCCATACTGGTAAGGCCCCCATGTTCCTCCTGGGCACCAACAGTGTTATGGGCGCGGAATTCACCATTTGGGTGAGCGTGGTAGAGCCATGCCTCCCGTCGGCAAGACAACATTTTGCAGTACCGCAAGCGTCCACCCATTACAAGAAAGCAGCTCAACCTCCCACATGCCTCTGACATCATGCCGTACATCAACAGTGTTGTACGTGGGCGCCTACCATCTTCACTGCATCCACCGACATCATCAACAGCAAGGACCCAATAGCTTTCATACTCTCATTCACTTGTAAAGCCATCCCCTTCTTCTATAAAAGGGGATGCGCTCCCTCCAACACAGGCAGTTCCAGGTCATTGCCTCAGGTTCCAAGTCATTGCTCCCCAGACACTAAGCTGCTTCAAGCTTCCTAGTTCACAACCACAGAGCCGCTAGGCTCGGACCCCAAGCATACGCTTGGCCACTTAGTTCATAACATAGCTCTTGTCGATCTCGGCCCTTTCGACCGGACCCCAATCTTTCTCCCTCTCGTTTGTAACCCCACTACAGACTCCGAGCACCTGGGCTCAGGAATAAAGTCGCCGACCGACCCAAACTGGACGTAGGGCACGTTGCCTGAACCAGTATAAACCCTATGTCATTGAGTGCTAGGCCACCTCCTATCATAACGTACAACAAAACTACAAATATTCACTAGTTGGTCATTTTTACAGACCGAGAGAGAGAGAGAGGGGGAGGATTAGAGGGAACAGGACCGGGGGATTGGGGAGACGAGGGGCCAGAGGACGGATCCGGACGGGAGTGGGTGGGGTGCAAAGCCCGGACTTAACTCTCAAGTTTAGCATATTAGATAATTTTTTTTGGGTCCAAGATCTTCTAGGAGTGACGCGTTTCCTCCCAACGCGTCTCGATCGATAATAACTTCGGTTACCAATGACGCGTATTGTTAAGAAGAGTCGCTCATAACTTGTCATTAGTGACGCGTTTTGTTTCAAACCATGGATGACACCTAACTAGCGGCGCGTTCTGTTTACCCGTCCAGCGATCGACATTAGTGGCGTGTTTCAATTGTAGGTCAGCGATTAAGGTGTCTCCTTTGTCTTTGTTTTGGCATAGTGTGAAGTCTAGTAGTTATTATTCTTTGCCTCGGTACTATACCACGTCCCATCCTGTCCGTCGTTCCTTCCGTGGTGTCACGGTGGGTAGGGGCATGGCAAGGGCGGGCTTGGCATGGGTACTGCTTTGTGGCCACAACACTAAGCGTAGGCGTAAGCGCTGCCATGCCCGGATGACTCGCGCGCGATGAGACTCACAAGCGAGGCAGCGGCGGCGCGCCGCATGATGAGGCTCGCCGACCGGCTTAAGCGCTATGCTCGTTGTGCAGATTCCACTCGATCGCGCATAGCGTCACGGAGCAGCGACCGAGCTCTTCCTTGCTCCACCAATGCCCGCCTTAGCATTGGTGGAAATGAAAATTCTGCCATGCATTTCGTGGCAAACCTCTCGTGCATCTTTTCAGAAAAAATCACACTTGCAATCCTCTTTGCTTTGTGCCTCTCTCGTTCTACTCCCTCCGTCCAGAAAAAAACACAATTCTAACTTTGAACATGGACACACATAGCAGCTTCCTTCTTTCTGCAGAAAAATCGCCGCTTCCAATCATTCGTTGCCATGCCACGCAAACCTCTCAGCGTGTATTGGTTTTGCTCGCTCCGACACACGTCTCAGCGGCCGATCCCATTGCATTGCTGTTGGTGTCATCCATCATATCATGTGACGAGAGGAGAGGACTGCATGCGCTGATATCCATCAGGTGCCAAGTCAAGGCACGTCTGCACAGCATCGGTGCGTGCGTGGGCGTCCACATCCGCGCGGCATTAAACTGCAAAATTCACGATCTACACCTCACGCATCAGGTCTAGTGTTGTGGCGGCGGTACCCACGCCAGAGAGCCCGACGCACTGCCTTTGCCCACCACACACACCACAACACGGGATGGACGGCGTATTTTTCTCTAAATAATATTTTTTAATGATTAATTATAAATTTAGAAGCGGCTAAAAAAACTTGACATGTAGCAGCTTGGCGGCGTATCATCACCGATAGTTCTCCGGCGCGGATCCAGTCGGCAACTTGGTTGCCGATAGGTGCCAACAGGCAGCAGCAACAGCAGATGGCAACCAAACAACGATAGGCTCCGGCCTGCGGCCACTTTTTTTTGCTGAGCTACCTGTCGGCCTCCCACGGGCCGACTGGACCTATCAACCCTCCATTTTGCTTTCGGCGTGTACCTGCCACGTATGCCTATCGGGTGGTGAGCTGCCGACATGGTTGTATATGTCATTTTTTAATAACATCTTCTAATTTTGTATTTAATCATAAAAAATATTATTTAAAAAAATTCGGCACGGACCATGAGCTTCCATTGGGTCCCGTCCTGTTGGTCAATGTGTTGTCATAGGCACAAGAATTAGGGATATGTTCTGGGCTTCAGGTTGTGCCCGGCCACTGCACCCCGATCTAGTTGCACCAGCTGCGGTAATTGCTTCCATGTTCCATCATGGTTTGTGTGTTTTGCTCGTATTCATCATTACCCTTAAAGTCACACAAGGCGATGCAAGAATCAGCGTCACAGCACCCACAAACGCATTCATGTTCGGCCGCCTTTGTATGATTGGCGTGTTTGTCCATACAGAGGCTTGATATATGATTTTATCTTGAAAATACTGTTTGACTGGGCCGCCTGTGGATGGATTCAAAAACGGTCTTTGCGATATTCCCTCTTTAACTTAATTTTTTTTCATAGTTTCCAAAAAAGCCACCGTTGCTAAAAATCGTTTCTGTAGTAGTGCCATGCACGTCTGCCCTGCGGCCTGCGGCCACTTTTTTAGTCTAGCTTTTTCCTCTCGGGCAAGCACGCACGTTATTAGAATGCAGCCCAGCGCGGCCCGCTCTCGTTCGGCCGTCCGTGCTTGTGCGTTGCGCCTGCGTCGCGTGTGCATGCATCTGTGTGCTGGTGCGTGCAGCTGCATGCAACCTTTGAATTTGATGAAACAGCTCAACCAGTGTCTCGCCGCAGTGAGACTCACAGCAGGGCAGCAGCGTGCGCCGCAGTGAGGCTCGCCGGCCGGCTCAGCGCTCTGCTCGCTGTGCAGTTCCCAGTCGATGCGCAACGTACAGAGCAGCGACCGAGCTCTTCCTTGCTCCACCAATGCCCGCCCTAGCATTGGTGGAAGGCAAACCTCTCGTGCATCTTTTTAGAAAAAAAATCACACTTACAATCCTCTTTGCTTTGTGCCTCTCTCGTTCTACTTCCTCCATCCAGAAAAAAACGCAATTCTAACTTTGAACATGGACACATGTAGCAGCTTTCTTCTTTCAACAGAAAAATCCCCGCTTCCAATCATTCGTTGCCATGCCACGCAAACATCTCTGTGTGTATTGGTATTGCTCGCTCCGACCGACGTCTCAGCGGCCTATCCCATTGCATTGTTGTTGGTGTCATCCATCATATCGTGTGACGAGAGGAGAGGACTGCATGCGCGGATATCCATCAGGTGCCAAGTCAGGGCACGTCTGCACTGCAACGGTGCGTGTGTGGGCGTCCACATCCACGCGGCATCACAGTGCAAAAGTCACGACCTACGCCTACGCATCAGGTCTAGTGTTGTGGCCAGTGGTACCCACGCCAGACGCCACGACCTGCACTGCCCACCACGCCACCACAACACGGGACGGATGACGTATTTTTCTTTAAATAATATTTTTTAAAGATTAATTATAAATTTAGAAGCGGCTAAAAAAACTTGACATGTAGCGGCCTACCGGCAGCCCATCAGCTGATAGTCCTCCGACGCCAGATCCAGTCGGCAACTTGGTTGCCGATAGGTGCCAACAGGCTGGTTTTTTCGGGTAAACCTATCGGCTGGTGAGCTGCCGACAGGGTTGTATATGTCATTTTTTTATAACAGGTTCTAATTTTGTATTTAATCATTAAAAAATATTATTTAAAAAAAATCGGCGCGGACCACGAGCTTGCATTGGGTCCCGCCCCGTCGGTCAATGTGTTGTCATGGGCACAAGAATTAGGGACATGTTCTGGGCTTCAGGTTGTGCCCGGCCACTGCACCCCGATCTAGTTGCACCAGCTGCGGCAATTGCTTCCATCATGGTTTGTGTGTTTAGCTCGTATTCATCATTACCCTTAAAGTCACACAAGGCAATGCAAGAATCAGCGTCACAGCACCCACAAACGCATTCATGTTCGGTCGCCTTTGTATGATTGGCGTGTTTGTCCATACAGAGGCTTGATATATGATTTTATCTTTCCTCTATCATCTATGCATCCAATTTTGTAATTGTTTTCCATGCATTTTCGAAACATGCATCATCTACGCACCCATACTTTCTTTAATTGATTTTCCATGCATTTTTTTTATGTGTGTTTCTTTGAAGTGGGAGCTCTTTTGTGGTGACATTATTTTTCAATGAGTGAGCGATGACACGTGTATACTCAATTCGTATCACATTGGTGTCCCAAAACAATCGTTGGCATCTGTTGTGTTAACAGATTCTCTCTTACCGTGTTGTATCTAGAATCAGGAGTTCTTCAGATTCCAGTACGGCTAATGCGGAATCAGGTTTAGAGAGTTAACAAAAGAAAAGTTTGTGCTATTATATTTGCAAATTGATTAGTAAATATAAGTATTCACTTAGATAGACTAATAATAATCAAAAGCCCGCCCATTATATTATTGCCCTGTTCGCTTGGCTGATAAGTCATGGCTGAAGTACTATTGGCTGATTTGTTGTGAGAGAAAAATATTGTTCGTTGGCTGAAAAAGTACGGCTTATAAGCCAAACGAACAGGACGTGTGTGTGTGTGTATATATATATATATATATATATATATATATATATATATATTGCGTTGCTACGGGACAATTAAACTTTTGTACTAAAAACATACGGATCACACGATAAGATAACAATACTGTAAAAATTAAATACCAACGTTAAAGTGATATTTAATCCAAAAAGCAAAGTTTATCTTCTTGAATGTCTAATAGAATTACTGAAAGAAGTCAGACAACAGCAATTCAATTGTCAGAAATTCTGCCCAAAGTTAAGACAGAACTTATTCTTCTTTTCTATAATTGCGCCAAACCTTCATTGCAAAAATTTTGAAAATTTGTGAGTATACTATGGCCTCCAAACCTACAGGTTGGTAAACTACTAATTTCTGATTTGAAGTCATTCTTATCAGGTAAAACCAATAGGAGTAAAATACCCTACCAACTTAGCTGAAATCACCTGATCACAGATTTCCACCCCTAAAAAACAAATTCATATCAGGAGTTCCATAGCTCCTCTAAAGATCTATTTTGCCAATCTAGAATATATATTTTATTGTTGCAAGTACAATATGCTTCAAAGAAATTGTAGGGTGCACTCAGAAAGGAAAATAAACTGCATGCAGGAACATGATACAGACAGCCAGAAGTTCACTTCTCTAACAGCAGATGTGTGATCTTCCTCAAAGAAATAGTGTGGGTATATGAAATCACATTACTTGTCTTGTGTCAAGTTACACCCGTCTCTCCACTTCAACAACACTCTGTTCAGACCAGCAGAAGCACTTGCTAATGCTACCACAACTAGAATCTCGCATTTTTCTGTGTGTGCGAAAACACACAGAAAAATGCGAATACTGTTAGAAAAATATTTTTCTGACGGTGTACCCTCAGAAAAATACCCACAGAAATATAATGACAGAAAAATTCAATTGTTCTGTGTGTTCGCCGTCAGAAACAATTTTTTTGTGGGTGTTACACGCACAGAAAAATTGCGTTAGCCCAGATTAAATTTAAATGTTGTGTGCGTTGATCCTCACAGAAAAAAAGAAAAGCCCGACAGGAAAATGATTTTTCTGTGGGTGTTACACGCACAGAAAAATTGCGTTAGCCAGATTAAATTTAAATGTTGTGTCGGTCTCGGTTAACGCACAGGAAAATAACAGACCACCGACAGAAAAACCCTTAACCATGCAGCAAATTAGATACAATAATTATATAGAAACAGAACAGTAGCAACAACATATTAAATATGGACTGCCCATACTGTAATTTCATCACAACATAATCAAATTAACAAACATTGATTCATTCATGTATTAGCAAGTCAGATGTCTTTACATAAATATAGCACATACACAGATAGTTCAATGCTCAACAAAAGGTATTGTATGTCTTTACAACAAGCCATTTGATGATGATATATGCAGTAGCTACACGCATAACCATTCATCTCCAATCACTCTCTGCATAGATTTGTCAATGTAGTCTCTATATAACCGGTGCAAACATTCCATAATTGTCCTTGTCTTCCGGATAATGCCTGCAAAATAGAAGGATTAGATGCTATGGCATATCATCATCTAACAAAAATGATGCAAATCAAGCAATGAAATTCTCGAACTTCTAACATTTGGGGTGAACCATAAAAAATAACATGTATATATATGATACAAGGCAGCCATATTATCATCATCTGATAGAAAATGATGCAAATCAAGCAATGGAATTCTCGAACTTTCAACATCTGGGGTGAACCATAAAAAATGACATGTATATACATGATACAAGGCAGCCATATTATTGTGCTACAATTGACTAAAAGATGAGTTTGTACTAGCAAACAGCTAGTATCCAATACACAAACACAGCTCCTTAATATGAATGCTTCAGTCATGCGAGAAAACTGAAGAATGAGAAAGGATATTCTCACCTAAGCAGATAGGGCACTAAAGCCTATATGCAGTGCTGTGTAAAACACTAAAACAGTCCATGTAAAAAAGGTGGAATTAGAAAGAATCATACTCCATTTTAAGCGCCTGCTGACACGAGCAGGATTTTTAATACATGAATTATTCCTCTTTCTTATCTTCTGCCGCAGCACCATGTGGATTGGCTAGGGGTTTTGATTCACTCGCACCCTGTATAGGCGGAGTACAATAAGCAATTGGGAGATGCATGGTAGCATGAGCATATAAGGGCACAAAAAGTAGGATGAACATGTAGGCGTACCTCATCGTTCTTCTGAGCTGCAGGCTTGAAAGGACAAGCAGGTGGGACTCTTTCAGGTCTCCGGTACTCCCATCCAAATAGCCGATACACCTTGCTCTGGAAACCGTCCAAGATAATAATCAAATTCCATAATGTAAGGAACAGAATTTTATTAGAAACTAGAAATGAAACAGAGATCCTCTTCATTCATGTGACCAAATGCACATGTAAACCTACAAGGCTATGTGCAGTAGATCAGATGTATGGTTCTGACAGAATTATTCTTAAGCAACTGACCATATAATATAATCCTAGAAAACCTAACAAAACCGTCAATGAAAATAAACCAGCTTCGGCCCCTAGCTGGCTCTTCCAAATCACATACACGAATCTTTGTAATTGACAGGTAGATCCTCCCTAGAGGATCAATGATTTATTGTTCCAGCTAATCCCATAAGGCCTAGACAAACTTAGGCATGAGTACATGGCTAGACCCAGCCGACGTCACTGAACCACTATTGTTGTAAAAGGTGCATATTACTCCCGAAAAAAAGAAAATCAACAATCCAATATCTTCCATGCTGCCTGTCTAAATTGAAATTATGGTTTCCTTTATTCATTACAGTGTCAGGACTCAGGAATTGGTTTATTCTCAAACCTTGCATCTGTAGTATTACCACTAATCAAAAGGAGGTATGTTGTATAGTTATTCACATGCATCTAGAAGCTGAATTTACTGCACAAGAAGCTGATATCTAGAATCAACAATCTATAGGCCAGGAAGCTGCTGGGCACAAGAATTCATAATAATCCAAAATGCATATTGCTTATCAATTTACTGCATGATGTTATTGCTATGCGAATCTGATGAGGAAATCTGGGTGGGTATGAACTGCTGCTAAGGAAACCTGATCATAAAATCCAAACCAAATCATCATAGAAAAGAAAACCAGCTCTGACCGTAGCTGGCTCATACCAACCACAATCGATAATCGACATCAAGGTCTGTCTACTCTTCTCTATAGGAACGGTGGGCTCTGGTTTCTTGCTCCAACGAATCCACGAGCCCAAGACAAAACCACCAGGGCAGCAGACTAGACAAAAAAGCTCGAAAATCCCCCGCCACCGCTGAATCGATAGAACCCCTAACCACCACGGGCGATGCCTGGTTGGATCTTACAGAAACCAGAGAAAGAGAGAGAGAAAGAAGGATCCGTACGATGATGAGGTTGATGAGGTAAGGGAGGGCGTTGACCACCGGGATCAGGAAGAGCGACAGCAGGCACGCGACGCATACCTGGTCAAGCACATCCACCACGACGTTAGTATAGCACCGGGATCTGCAGGGAGGGGAGGGGAGAGGGAGAACTGAGCACCTCACCATATCGTCGGATCGGATCGGATCGGAAGCTGGAGGATGGATTGGCCTCCTTGTCTTTGCCCCGTTGCTTGCACCGATTCGTCTCCTAGCTCCTCCTTGTCGTAGTCGTCGAGGCGCGGTGGTCGCCGATCCGTGCGATGAGAATGCAATTGGGGACAAAGACTAGAGAGGAGAGGAGAGGAGGGACAAAGGAGACAATGGGATCTGCTCGGTCGTCGGCGTGGAGGTGGTGGCGCCGGATCCAGCCGCCTGGGGGCGCGCCCGCCATGGATTTGGCCGGATCCAGGGGTGAATGAGAGGGGCCGCGCCCGCCGCGTTGATGAAGAGGGAGAGGGAGGAGAGGGAGTGGCGGAGCTGCTCGGGGAGGGGAGGAGCCCCCGCGCTGAGTCGCGGAGGGAGGGCGCGGCGCTGAGTCGCAGAGGGAGGGGCGCGCTGAAAGGAGAGAGTGAGGGAGGGGGCACGGTCTAGTGTGTGCGTGAGAGGGTGTTTGGGAAGTGTTGTGTCGGCGGGGTTAGGGTTAGGATTTTTACGTGCGTGTACATATTTTCTCTCGTGTGTTTTAAAGAACCGATAGAATAAATTGTATTTTTTCGTGAGTGCTGATTTTTCCGTGTGTGTATTGTTACGCACAAAAAAATCTGATTTTTCTGTGGGTTTTAGTATTTTTCGTCGGGATATTTTGGAATCGACGGAAAAATCGTAATTTTTTCATGCATGTAGAAAAAAACACGGAAAAATTTATCACCCACGGAAAAATGCGAGATTCCAGTAGTGTACATTACCATTAAGTCCGTGCTAACGCCACGCCACCATTAAGTCCTTTGTGATATTTAATTGTTTGAAATCCGATGCTATTCCATGTTTTGGAATGAACATGTCGCATACCCCTCGTCGTAGTCGAGGTTCCAATAGGACAAACAGAGGTATAAGCATTATCCGGTGAACACATGCAGAGAATATGTAAACTTCCCAAATACAACTATCTCTGAATGGTGCAATCACAGAATCACTTATATAATATACAGGTCTGAGCACAACTAGAGAGATTCTTGCTCTGCACTGTGATGCATATCTGAACAACTATTGCGGGGCACATATACTTTAGCATGTCTGCACCAAACTCCGGTTTTATTTGAGGGATACACATAAAAACAACCAAACTCCGGTGGTATTTCGTGATATAAATAGAGTACAACAAGAATTAAGAGAGATTCCAATTCCTTGCATCACTTTCAATATATTATAGAAATAGTATAGTGCCTGTGTTACGCTACGGTAAAAACCTAAAAATAGTATTTTCCTATGCACATAATTATTTGTATCACTGGTGTATCCACGTCATTGCAAATAATTGTCATTTGTATAGTTATTTTCCCTGTCTCTATACACATGCTTGCAAAACTGCTGAAAACACTCATCACATCTACACTATTACACATCTCGGTGCGGTGGGTTCTGCTCTCGGTGCCATGAGTTTTCCTCGCGGGTGGAGGTGCCGCAGCAACAGAGACGCGTGGCTCCGAGGGGCCGGCACCGCTCTGCAAGGCCACAATCACGATGGCCCCGGCGCTGCATCCCCGCGTCAGCTGCGACACTCGCAGCCGGCAGCTGTGATGCGGGGCTCCACGGCATGGCCATCCTCAGAAGCGAGCCACGGCGAGGCTCAGGCTAGCAAAAAAATTATACTTTGAACACGATATTCGCAGCACTCCGTTTGTAACCAATCATCAATATTACATGAGTTTTCACAAAGCATAAACAATTAGAATATAAAATTGGATGTGATAAATATAAATGTCGATGGTTCAACTGCATCTGCAGATCCCCACATTTTTCTAAACACTGCAGTTGCATCTTCAAATCTCCCAGCAATTCCCACATTTCCCTAAACACTGCAGTTCCATCTTCAAATCTCCGAGCAGCACAATAGGCGTCATTAACCATCACCCTGAAGCTTCTCAAATTCCCGCCAAGGAATAAACTAATGGAATTGACTAACCTGGATGCCACTAGATGAGATATTCCTAAGGCCTTGTTTGGATGTAGTTGGATCCTTATGAATCCACATGTGTTGGGGTGGATAGGAGTGGAACTTGAACTAAATTCCACTCCAATCCACCCCAACACATGTGGATTAAGTTGAATCCGATAACATCCAAACAAGGCCTAACTTAGTTTTTGAATAAACCAAAATTTACCTACAGAGCAGTCAACACCGCAGACATGAGATATTTACCTTGCCTAACTCAGTTTTTGAACATCTGTTTATCTTGCCTTGCTGTTCTCATAATGTTAGGAGAAAACAAAACTTATAAAGGATCGCTTAAAGAAGGTCATGTCAGAGTATGGAAAAGTCCAACATGGAAACATAACTGTGTATGGTACTGATACAACATGGAAACATAAGTATGTATGGTACGGATAGTATCAAATATCAATATCCAATTTTATGCTTAAAGCATTCAACCCATATGTGAAAGAAATTTGAAACATAAAGTAGTTGAACAAATAAATACCTAGCAAACCATCATAGACATAGTCTGAACTCTAAACACTGAAGGTCTTCCAGTTTGGAAGAATATTACATCTCTTAAAATTATTGGAATGCAAGTTGTAATATTCTACAGAAAACATTTCCATCTTACGCAAAGTTAAAAGGAAAAAGTGAACATGCGAAATGCATGCTGCTTTGTAGAAACAACTATAGTATTTAGTGGAGTAAATTTCGGGCAGAGAACATACTGTGCCCCTGGTTTGCCTAGATCAACACCTTGTCATCATCCTCCAACAGACTAAACCTCTGCTTGTTATCCATTTGACTGACTGCACACAATAAAACATAAATTTTCTCATCTAACTGAATAGTATATTGCCCGTGCTAACGCCACGGTGACATTTTAGATGACGCAAAGTAACAACCAAACGCGGTCTAAAATAAGATAGATTCAAGATTCACAGAAAAAGGAGCAATTCAAACTTACAGGATTATTATATTATTTCATGAAAAATCTCATGTGGTGTAACAGGAAATCTCATGTGAAATATTTATAGACACCTAATTTTCGGTTTTGATCACTTTCTTGTGGCTTCTGCTCCTTCCCCAGTCAACACGTGTACTTCAACTCGAAAGCCTGCAAGTACACGAACATGAAAAAAAAGGTGGTTAAGATAGGAGCACATAAGAAATTGCTGAAAAAACATCTAAATCATCCAATCCCCTACCAAATTTCAGGTACCCAGCGCCACACTTGTTGGAGGGCGCCATACATATGCTGCAAAATCTGTGTGTCAAATATATGATATAAGCTTCTAACCAGGATTGTATTTACTCAAATTTCATCAAGATTGAGCTTTTTTGACCAAAATTTTAACAATCAAACCTCATCTTAATAAGCATACTGTTGAAAGTGAGATGAAGCTAAGAAACATAATAACTCAGCTAACAAAAAGCATAACAAAAAACTCATCTAATCGCATATTCTATTATTCTTACCATGGTACCAAAAAATCCATGATAAAAGCCCCACCAAGAATACCTTCATTATTAATTTATTTCAGTCTATTTATTGCAAAGCATTATTTGTGCTTCATGAAATTCCCATGTGGAAATGTCGTGCACAAATAAATGATTAGATCACACTACTACAGAATGGACCTGTTGTCCCGGGCAGTAACAGCCTTTAGTCCCGGTTACCGCGCCGGGACAACGATCCCGGGACTAAAGGTGGAACCTTCAGTCCCGGGTCATCGAGCCGGGATTAAAGAGGGACCTTTAGTCGGTTGGTAACACCAACCGGGACTAAAGACCCTCCACTCGAAAGCGAACTCAAGATTTTTTAGTCCCGGTTGGGGTTACCAACCGGGACTAATCATTCTTTTAGTCCCGGTTGGTAACCCCAACCGGGACTAAAGGTTCCTTTTCTTTTTCTTTTTTTTGTTTAATTTGTTTTCAGATTCAGTTACACGTATTTGTTTAATATATAATATGTTTTTTATATACGTATTCTACGTTGCTAATATAAATACACGCATGCATATAATTACATCTAATTCTCATCTTGAGTATTATTATATTGAATAAAGTATGAAACTATATATATTATATATATATATGTATATATACAACACTTTCATAATCTTGTTCTCGAAAATAACGATATCAATAAACATTTAATTTACATCATTTATTCCTTAAGATCAAAGTAGAACTCGCCGTTGGGATTTAGCACTTTTTCTAGAAGATATCCTGCTATTGACTCTTGAACTGCTTTGAGATGGTCTTTTTGCATGACCCTTCGTTTCAACCATTCAGTCTTGCATTTGAAATAAAAGGAAAAGTATTAATACACATATATGTATATATATTCATTTAAAATAAATAAAAATTGATATATACGTACTCGAGGACATCTTCGGGAGTTCTTCTTATGTCTTGTGATGATAAATTCACAAACGTAGTATCCACACAAGTTATTACCGGTTCTGCCGCCAAAACACCTTTGCATACGAGAAGAAGATTATTCTCATCATCTCACACGTAAATTGAAGTACGATATAGTAATTAAACACGTGGGGAAGTGTATATAGTACAACTTCTTTGGTATTTCAACTACATTAAGTGGTGCCTTGCAATCCTTGCGATGTTGCTTAGAATAAACTCTTTCCAAACCTCGTATGCGACCAATAATGTACGATCGTTAATAAATTATGGCAAAGTCTATTCAATAATAGTTGTGCTTGTGAGAGATCGAAATTACCCCGGATAATGTCTATCATATCTTGGTATAGTGCCCGTTCTTTTCTCAACGAGTCAAAGATTAGTAACCGACTTGAGTTTAACTCAATGACAATGAGTATCCGAAGTGAAAACTGCATTGGTTTATACACACACGTACATGCATATAAGTTGTATTGATATTACATAAAATGTGTAGACTACATTATTATTAACACTTACTCAAAGTTGTACGGGAAAAGTATTGTTGTCTTGTCGTGCTGCTTCA